TAGGCGCCTGGACGGGAGGGGACAGAGGCACCAGGGGATGCACACCCCACGTTGGCCCCAGGGCCTGAGGCGAGGCTCTCATGAGCACCCCCCCCCCTCCACCATAGCTTCCATCTGTCGTCTGACTTCAGGAGGCCAGTGCCCCACCCACTTTCTATCACCCCCAGGGCTCCACTGGGCACACGGCTTAGGTCAGTCATTTGGGCCCAGGAAGTAGGTGGGGCAGGGCAGTGCAGGGGCCCCTCACCTGTGACCTGAAGGTGCAGAGGGTCACTGGGGAGTGACCACACATACGGGTAGGAAGCTGGAGAAACGTAGCACCTGTAGGTCCCCCCATGGGAGGTGCTCACGGGGCCCACAGGGAACAGTGCCTGCCTCTTCTCACGAGGGAACTTCAATTCCAGGTGTCGGGGCGCGTCAGCTCCCCCCCTCCTTCAGCAGACGGAAGGTTTGCCATGGATGTGGTGAGCTACAGGAGAGGGACACGTTCCCTCCTGAGGCCACCACAGGGCCTGGGATGGCTGAGAGGGAGGGTGGGTTGTACACTCCTGAGGGAGAAGGAGGGGCAGCGTTAAAGGGGCCATCGCCCCACGTACCCCAGTGTGGACAGTGAGCGAGAGTCCCCTGAGGCCACACTCTGTTCCCTTCCACCTGGAGGAGGGGCCCCAGGGGAGGGGCCAGCTTCTGCCTTACCTGTCACCACCAGGGGCAGGAGGTCACTCTGCTGTGACCAGCCGTTCCTGCTGTGATATTGACACTGGTATCGCCCTGCATCGTGCGAACTCGTGAATCCAAGGGAGAAACTGGCCTTGTCGCTGGACTCCTGTGAGATCTCCATGGACATGGGTTCTGAGACCCTCTCTTTATACAGATAGTAGACATCAGCCTGCAGAGATGCCTGACACCAGATGGTCACAGGGGTCCCGCTGGTGACATTGGGGCTGGGGTCAGCCCTGATGGAGGGTTTGGGAAGGTACCCTGGAAAGGAGTCAGATGGGGAATTGCAAGGGTGCCCTTCTCCCCTGTTTCCCACCTGTCACCCCAAGGCCCCTCCCGGACTGGTCACCATCAGCCCAGACCCTCTGTGCCCCCCAGCTGCCCAGCGGGTTGTTGGGTGGAAACAGGAGGTCTGGGGAGCACTCACCTGCCTGTACCTGGTCCCACGGACCCCGACACAGCCCTGGAAGAGAGTTCCCTGTGAGAGTGTCCCCCCACCCGCATGTAGCTGTTCCAGGCCCAGTCGGGTCCAATGACCACGGGGGTCACTCTCTGGCCCCCAGAAGTCCTGCCCCCAACATGCCTCCCAAGTCCTGAGGTCTCTCAGGGCCCAGGGCCTGGGGGCAGGGCGGGAGCCACCCATCCCTCCTCTTGTCCAGAAAGCTCACCGAGACACAGAAGGGCGGTGAGGGTCTGGGTCCTGACGCTGCCTCCCATGGTCCCAGCGGTGCAGACAGCTTAAAAGTCCTCAGAGTCCACAGGACAGACACATGCACAGGGTGTGACATGGCCCAGGCTCTGTGGTCTCCATCATGGGTTCCTCACGAGAGGCCTTACAGGAAGGGGAACACCCCCTCCGGGGCCTTGCTCTGCTCTCCCTGAAGGACGCCCGACAGCAGAGGCCCTGCGACCTTTCAGACCAGATGCGAGTCTCACCAGACCCCACACGGCCCTGCCACTCTGCCTGTTCCCCGCCAAGCCCAAGTCCAGAGAGTGACTCTGGTCCCAGAAGCCAAAGTCGGGGAGGGTGGGCCGGACCTGGGAGCCGGCCCAATTTCAGTTCCAGTTCTGCCTGTGCCTCTTACAGAGGCTGTGTGATCTGGGTGAGACACTTCCCTTTCCTGAGTTCCGTAAATGCAAATTTTCTTCCTTCCTTCCACCACCCTGTCTGTCAATCATTCAGTGTTTACTGAGTAGTTACCATGTCCAGTCATGGCACCGGGCATTGGAGAATCATTGATGAGGCTGACAGAGTCCTTCCTTCCCTGGACTCATGGGGCACTGATTAGTGACAACAGACAATACAAATATTTAGGTAGGAAAGAAACAATTCTGTTTTCGGTCTTACAGGACTGTTCCAGGTTGGAACTAAAAAGAAAACAGATTGGGGGGGGGGGGGGTGGTGCTTGGGTGACTCAGTAGGTTGGGCATCCAACTTCGGCTCAGGTCAGTATCTCACAGTTCATGAGTTTGAGCCCCTCGTCAGGCTCTGTGCTGACAGCTTGGAGCCTGGAACCTGCTTTGGATTTTGTGTCTCCCTCTCTCTCTGCCCCTCTCCCACTTGTGCTCTGTCTTTCTCTCTCCCTCAAATAAACATTAAATAAAGAAAAAAGAAAAAACAGGGAACCATGAGATTCGATAACAGGTAGATGTCATACAACCTGTGGTCCCTCTGGGGTATGGAGGGACAGAAGGCAGGAACCAGGGGTAGTAGAAATGGGAGTGAAGGGCATCCTCAACTAGAAAGATCTTGAGCCGTTCTCAGAATTGAGAGCAATCAGGAGGAGGCCAGGGCCTTGTCACACAGGAGTCTGATAATCACGCCAGCCTTAGAGATTTCATCTTTAAAGCAGTGGGAAGATTTTAGCCAGCAGACAGTATGAACGGGTTTCTGTTTGGAAAAGACACTGTAGGAAATAAAATGTGGGAGGGCTCTGTTGGTAATTAGTTGTATTGATAATCAGTAGTGAAACCCCAGCACGCATCTGGCTGTGAGATCCCGTATTGATCAGTATTTTAAGTTGTTGGTGGGGTTTTTTCATTGAAGCCTTACAGGAACCTACGACACAAAACACATTTAGGGTTGAGTGAAACGAGCCAGGGTGGCCTCCCAGTCTGGCAGGTGGGAGAGGAGCTGGCCAGGTTCAGACTGGCTGATGGGACAGCCAGACCGAAGGCACAGAATCATTAAGTTAGCTCGGTTTGTGTGCACTCGGGGAGGTGTTCGGTTTGGAGGGTGGGTTTTCTTTGTGGGGCTGGTGGGTTTAGCCCCGGCCAGATGGTCACAGCCTCGCAGATGAGATGGTGCAACGTAGAGCTTCGTAAAGGAGAGGGTGGGAGCGTTTGGAGCCTCACACGGGACCGGACCAGGCAGGGTGATTGGAAGGGTCCCTTGGAGATGGTGGGAGGGAGGAACAGGGGAAGGGGGGCCTGGTGGGAGGAGGAGGAGGGATGCCGGCGAGGTGATGCACACACGCTTCTTGAGCCTTGCGATGGGTTGGCCGTTGTTAAGAGGGTGCCGAGGGGCGTGGTGGTGTGTATGCGGTGACTGGACGTGAGCGCAAGAGCACGGTGGCGAAGGCTCTTCGCCTTCTGTCCTGTGCCCGGAGGAGCCAGTGAGGCCGCCCCAGGAGGATGATCCAGGGAGAGGAGGGTGTCGGGAGGTCATCGAAGACAGATGGTCATTTCTCCCAAGGCAGCACAGCCCTGCCTCCTGCCCTGGTATTGTGGATTTTCTTTACCCCCAACACTTCCCTTCACTGACTTCCTTGTTCCTGTAAGTCATCACCATCTTCTTTTCATCACCTCCCTTGAGAACATCTGAGTCCTTTCTGCCGCCTCAGGGCCCCGTCCCCTCCATGGGATAGCCTCTCCGTCCCAATCTGTGCGTCCCTCTTGCAGGCACTGGGTAAGAGCAGGCGCTGGAGGCAATTCAGAGATTTAATTGAAGCTGAAACACCGTCACTATTCAGCACATACTTCCCCTTACTGAGTCTTCTGTTACTCGTGGTGATGAGATAGGGGCCTCTCCCCTCAGGAGTGCTGCCATGCCTGAGACACACAGGGGCGATTTCATGTGTGGCTTGTCGGCATTCAGGTGACTGCAGTGTCAGAGTTCATATCGTGGGGCCACTTGAAGGCCACACTCCAAACACACCGAAATGCTAGATAAAGATTTGTAAGATGTGTAGCCACAGTGAAAACAAATCAGAGCCAGAAATACGGCGTGAATCCCTAGACGTAAGCAGAGACCAACGCCGAGTGGGCTTGGTGATGCATCTCAGGGACGGGCCCCAGGACCTGGTTTGCTGTGTCCACGTGGTGATAGGTGGCAAAGCCCCAAAGGAGATACGGGTTCCTGGTGTGAGGCCAGGAGCTCTGAGCCTGCTGCCTGTCTGAATGGGGGCTGCAGTACCCCCACTCACTGATCAGAGGTCATGCCCAGACACGACAGGACGGGCAGGTACCAACGTATACCCACATGTAGCATGAGCTCAGTTTTGAGTGATCCGCGCACCTGCTGGAACCCTAAGCAGAACACTGAGTTTGGAACACCTCCAGATCATAAGTCTGAAGCAGTTGCAAGCTGGTCACTTGTTGAGGCCTTCACAATGCAGGAAAATGGGGGTGATAACTGCTAGGAAGGGGTCAGCTCAGTGGCAAAATGACCGAGTGTACACAATCAACTGTGCCGTGAAAAATAGAGCACAGACCTGGTCACTGAGGGAATTCCCAACCAAGGCAAGGGAGAGAACTTGAAAACTGGAAGGAGACTTAAAACTAAGCATGCTTTAGGTCCTCAGAGGAAGATGAGACATGCATGATATAAGAAGAGTTGTTCAGTGGAAACAAAGAGGTGCTCCCTAAGGAAATTTCATAGGTCAAAACTCATTAATTGAATGAAGGAACTCAAAAGATCTATTCTCTAACGGATAGAAGATAGCTGATCAGAAAATTGGAGAACTAGGAAACAGAACTCAGGAGGTATTCCAGAATGCAGCGGAACATCATAAAAATAGAAACCCAAAGGATAAGATCTGAGACATGGAGAACAGAATAACCAGGTCCCAAGACACATCTGTCCTTCGTTTTAGGAGGAAACAAGAGAATGGTGAAGTGGCGGTAAGCAGGTGTCATTTTGGAAGTGAAACCAGAGAAGTGGGCAGCACGGGCTGTCAAAGCTGAACTGTGACTGGGAGCTACATCCTCGAAAGCATGTCACACTGTCAGTACCCAAGCAGGGTGATAACCTGCTCAAACAAACATCCACCTTGCCCAGAAGATTCTGTCAGAACCCAGAGCCTCCTGATGTAAAATTCAAAGAAACAGGCAAGTCTCGGTAACACTCAAAGGAAAAAATAATCAACAGACACCAACCCTGAGCTGACCAACCGTCAAAAGCCAGTTTTATAATCAAGCTTCATGAAATAGGGGCAAACACTTGTACAATAAATGGAAAACAATAGACTTCTCCCAGCATAGGAATTATAAGGGGGAAAGAGGAAATTTTAGAAAAAAATTAAGTAACTGAAATAATTCACTGTGTCTAGTGGCAGGATGATGACAGAGGCAGGGGTCCGTGAACTTGAAGACAGAACAAGGGAAGTGCAATCTGAACAGTAGAGGAAAAAAAGATATAAAAAATGAATGTGGGGTGCCTGAGTGGCTCAGTCCATTGAGCGTCCAAGTCTTGATTTCAGCTCAGGTCAAGATACGAGGGTCATGGGATCAAGCCCTGAGTCGGACTCTGTGCCGAGTGTGAAGCCTACTTGGAATTTCTCTCTCTTTCTGCCTCTCTCCCGCTTGCACTCTCTCTCACTAATGTTTATTTGTTTTTGACAGAGAGAGAGAGACAGACACAGACAGACAGAGCATGAGTGCGGGAGGGGCAGAGAGAGACAGAGACGCAGAATCCGAAGCAGGCTCCAGGCTCCAGGCTCCGAGCTGTCAGCACAGAGCCCGACAACGGGGCTCGAACTCACGGACCGTGAGATCATGACCTGAGCCGAAGTCGGACGCTCAGCTGACTGAGCCACCCAGGCGCCACTCTCTCTCTCTCTCTCTAAAATAATTTTTTTTTTTAATTTGTGGGGTGCCTGGGTGGTTCAGTGGGTTAAGCTCCTGACTCTTGATATCGGCTCAGGTGGTGGTCTTGCTGCTGTGGGATGAAGCCAAGTCAGACCCCACTCTTAGCTTAGCCTGCTTGGGATTCTCTCTCTCTCCCTCTGTCTCTTCCCTCCCCCACTTTCTCGTGTTCTCTTCCTCAAAATAAACAAAATAAAAATCTATCAAAAAAGATTTTTCTTTAAAAAATAAAGATAAAAAATTAAAATTGAACACAGATTCAGGGATTTGTGAGTCAATGTATATAGTCAATCTTCCAGCAAAAGGAGAATGATACTAATGAAGAAAAAAAGTTTGAAGAAATAAATAGCTGTCCATTTTACAGATTTGTTGAAAGTCATACATTGACATGTACAATGTCCAAGATGATCAGCAAATGCAAAATAGGATGAGCTTTAAGAACCGTGCCCATGCATATCATAATCATAATTCAACTAGTCAAAACCAAAAAAAAAAAAAAAAGAGAGAGAAAGAAAGAGAGATGCCATTTTACATAAAGAGGGAAAACAATTAGAATGATTACAGATTTCATATCAGAAACCATCACGGTCAGAAGATTTTAAAGTTCTGAGAGACAGAGCCAACCTAGAATTCTGGATATATTCTTCAGGAATGGGATTCCTGCGTGGCTCAGTCAGTTGTCTGACCCTTGATTTTGACTCAGGTCAAAATCTCATGGTTTATGGGATCAAGCCCCACGTTGGGCTCTGCACTGGCAGTGCAGGTCCTACTTGGGATTCTCTCCCACATGGCCCTCCCCAACTCATTCTCTCTCTCTCCCTCTCTCCCTCTCTAAAATTTTTTTTTTTAAAGGAATGAGAGCAAAATAAAGTCATTCTTAGAGGAAGGAACATGGGAAGAGTTTGTGACCAGCAGGTCTGCTCCACAAGAAATGGTAAGTTCTTCAGACAGAAAGGAATTAATTCTAGAAGGAAGCCGGGAAGTTCAAGAAAAAGAGATGAGAAAAAAAGGTAGATAACTAGGCAAATAGCATACTTCTTTCCTCTTACATTCATTACCATACGTATGGCTGTTGAAAGCAAAGCCAATAATGTTGTCTCGGAAGCTTTGAATATATGTAGGTGTAATACATACAACACATACAACATGTGAGGGTGAAGGCCCTAGACACTTGTAAGGCTTCTGTGTTTCTCTGAAAGAAGTAAAATATTAACTCTATGTAGAGTCTGTGAAATTAGGTGTGTATAATACCTACAACAGCTACTTTAAAAACAACATATGGAGATACAGAGTTATAGTTACCAATAGGTAAAATGGAATGCTTAGGGGCACCTGGGTGGCTCAGTTGGTTAAGCACCTGACTCAATCTCAGCTCAGGTCTTGATCTCAGGGTCTTGAGTTCAAGCCCCACATTGGGCTCCACCTTGGGTGTGGAGCCTCCTTAAAAAGTAATTAATTTAAAAAGTGGAATACTTAAAAATATACCAAAAAGCCAAAAGAAAGCAGGAGAGGGAAAACTGAAGAACAAACAATAAGAGGGGGACAGAAAGCAAAGAGTAAAATGATAAACCTAAAATCAACCTTATCAATAATTACATTAAATGTAAACAGTGAAAGCACAATTAAATGGCAGAGACTGTAGGACTGGATTAACACCACCATGACCCAACTATGTGCAGTCTACAGGAGGTAAAAGGAAAAAGAATACATTTTGCAAACATTAATCGGAAGTTAAGCTTAAGTAGATTTATTAGTTTCCTATGATTGCTATAACAAATAGCCACACACTTAGTGACTTCCAACAACAAAGATTTGTCTTACAGTTCTGCAGGTCACAGGTACAAAATCACTGGGCTAATGCCAAGGCGTCAACAGTGCCACTTGCTTTTGGTAGCTCCGCAGTGAGAATCTGTCCCCATGCCTTTTCAGCTTCCAGAGGCAGCCTGCAGCATGTGGCTCCTGACCCCTTCCTTCCATCACTGCAGCCTCTTGATTCTGTCCTCACATCCCCCACCATTGGCTCTGACCTTTCGCCTCCCTCTAATAAAAAGTCTGTGAAGGGGCGCCTGGGTGGCGCAGTCGGTTAAGCGTCCGACTTCAGCCAGGTCACGATCTCGCGGTCCGTGAGTTCGAGCCCCGCGTCAGGCTCTGGGCTGATGGCTGAGAGCCTGGAGCCTGTTTCCGATTCTGTGTCTCCCTCTCTCTCTGCCCCTCCCCCGTTCCTGCTCTGTCTCTCTCTGTCCCAAAAATAAATAAACATTGAAAAAAAAATTAAAAAAAAAAAAAGCCTGTGAATACATTGGGGTCATCCAGATAATCAGGTACTTTATTTAGTCACACTTCCAAAGTCTCTTTGGCCTGTAAGGTAACATCCTCACAGGTTTCAGGGACTAGGGCATGGATGTCTTCGGGAATTGGGAGGAAGCAGCAACTTTCTATCCACCAAAGTGGCCATACTCTCCAGAACAGTACAGTAAACGATACCAGGTGAAGTAGGCTTTGGAACAAGAAAGTTATTAGGAATAAAAAGGTCAATTCACCAAGAAGACGTAGTAATCCTAATCATGTATGCACAAAACCACAGAGCTTCAAACACAGAAAGCAAAAACTGTCAGAAATGAGAGGACAAGTAAGTAATAGTTACTTGTCAGTAAGTATGGTTACTCAACAGTTATGGTCAGGGATTCCCTTGGTAATTGATAGAGCAAAGAGCAAATCAGCAAGGATATAGAAAACCTTAGCTACACTGTCAACCAACTTGACCTAATTGACACAGCACTCAACAGCACAATACACAGTCCTTTCAAGTGCACATGGAGTATTGGCCAAGATAGTTCATATCCTTGGATACAAAACAAAGCTCAACTGATTTAAAAGAAGCAATATCTTACATCACTTCTTTTCAGACTCTAATGGAATTTAAGTTAAAATCTATTACTATAAAGATAATCTCAGGGCACCACAGTGGCTCAGTCGGTCAAATTCCTGACTCTTTGATTCAGCTCACCATGTGATCCCAGGGTTGTGGGATCGAGCCCCATGTTGGGCTCAGTGCTGAGTGTGGAGCCTGCTTGAGATTCTCTCTCTCTCTCTCTCTCTCTCTCTCTCTCTCTCTCTCTCTCTCTGTCTCTCTCTCTCTCTCTGCCCCTCTTCCCCACTCATGCTCTCTCTCTCTAAAATAAAAAAAAATTTTTAAATAAAAAAAAGATAATCTGGAAAATCTTCAGCTATTTGGAAATTAAACAACACACTTTTAAATAATTCATGGGGCAAAGAGGAGCTCAAGGAAAATTGGAAATATTTTGAACTGAATGAAAATGAAATCAGCATACTAAACTTTGTGGGATGCAGCTAACACGCGTTTAAGAGGAAAGTATGAGCAATGAGTGTTCATATTTTAAAAAGGGTAGTTTCTAGTCACTAACCTAAGCTTCCATCTTAAGACACAAGAAAAAGAACAACTCACCCCAAAGTGAGCATGATAAAGGGCAGAAGTTGGTGAAACCAAAAATAGAAAAACAGTAACAAAAGCCAATGAAACCCACTGCTGATTCTTTAAAAAGACCAATAAATTGACAATGCCTGGCCAGGCTAATCATGAAAAATGGAAGACACAACTTGCCAAAATCTGGAATGAATGACAGGACATCACTACAAACCACACTGACATTAATAGAATATAAGAGAGCACTGCAAACTCTGTGCCCCAAAATTTGGCAACTTGAATGGTTCAACTCTCTGTTTCTTTTTTCAGTATAGTTGACATACAATGTTACATTAATTTTAGGTTTACAACTTAGTGATTTGACAGCTTTATACATTATGCTATGTTCACCAAATTATAGCTACCCTCTGTCCCATCACATTGCTATTACAGTATCGTTGGCCATAGTCCTTGTGCTGTGCATTTTATTCCTGTGACTCACTCCACAACTGGAATCCTGTATCTCCCACTCCCCTTCACCCATTTTGCTCATTCCTCCACCCTTCTTCCCTCTGGCAACCATGAGTTTGTTCTCTGTATTTGTAGGTCTAATTCTCCTTTTTGTTTGTTTATTAGATTCTACTTATGAGTGGAGTCATATGGTATTTGTCTCTCTCAGTCTGACTTATTTCACTTGGCATAACAACCTCTAAGTCCTTGAATGGACCAACTCCTGAAAGACAGAAACTACCAAGACTCGTTCAAGAAGAGATAAACTTAATATTCTTTAAAATATTAAATTGCATATGTAGTTAAAACAACTTTCCAACAAGGAAAACTCTCAGCCACAATGTTCTCACTGGCATGCACCACCAAACATTTGGGGGAAAAATACAATTCTACACAATCTCTTCCAGGAAGTAGAAGAGAAAGGAAAACTTTGAACAATATTGTGAGCAAGCATTATTCCAAACTCAAATTAGAAAAAGACAGTACAAGGAAATAAAGCTGCAGACCAGGAGTCCTCAAAAACATAAGTGCTAAAACCCTCACCAAAATATTGATAAATAAAAGCCAACAGTATATGAAAAGGATCCTAGCATCACAACGAAGTGTGATGTATTCTCAGATGACAGGCTAGTTGAACATCTGAAAATCAATAAAGGTAATCCATCGTATTAATAGACTAACAACAAAAACAACAACATCATGATAAATGCATGCACAAAGAATTGATAAATAAAACGCTCAGCTGTATGCACTTATGAGGGAACTTCCTTAATCAGATAAAGAGCATCAACAGGGGCACCTGGGTGGCTCAGTTGGTTAGTGTCCAACTCTTGATTTTGGCCCAGATCTGATCTCACAGTGAGATAGAGCCCCACATTGGGCTCTGCACTGACAGCATGGGGCCTGCTTGGGATTCTTTCTCTTCCTCTCTCTCTGTCGCTCCCCCGCTGGTGCTCTCTCTTTCTCTTTCAAAACAAGTAAATAAAAGTTTTTTTAAAAAAGAAGAGAATCAGGATGCCTGGGTGGCTCAGTTGGTTAAGTGTCCAACTCTTGGTTTAGGCTCAGGTCATGATCTCACAGTTTGTGAGTTTGAGCCCCACATCAGGCTCTGTACTAACAGCACGGAGCCTGCTTGGGATTCTCTCTCTCCCTCTCTTTCTGCCCTTCCCCTGCTCGCACCCACTCACTCTCTCTCAAAATAAATAAGTAAACTTAAAAAAAAGAAGAAGTTCTATGAAAAGCCTTTAACTAATATTCTGAATGCTTTTACCCTGTGAAACAAATTACTGATAGTCTCACAACTTCTATTCAGAACTGGCTAGCAGTAAGACAACTGAAAGAAATAAAGGCATACAGATTAAAGGGGAAGGAATATCAATTGAATTTTATTCTGTAAATCAACAAGGAACAATTGGAAATCAAAATTAAAATATTATAATAGCTCCAAAAAGCATACACATGTAGGCATAAGTATAGATGTGTCAGATATGAAGACTGAAAACTATAATACTTGGCTAAAAGAAATTAAAGAACTAAAAAAAGACAGATACCACATTTATTGATTGAAAGACTCAACATTGGGGGTACCTGGCTGGCTCAGTTGGTGGAGCACACAACTCTTGATCTTGGGATTGTGAGTTCAAGTCCCATGTTGGGTATGGAGCCTACTTAAAATATAAATAAACAAACAAAAGACTCAACATTGTCATAAAAAGAATTAAATCTTGTCATTTGCAATGACATAGATGGAACTAAAGAGTATAATGCTAAGCAAAATAAGAGTATAATGGTAAGCAAAATAAGTCAGAATTGATTTCACTCATGTGGAATTTAAGAAGCAAAATGAAAGAGCAAAGAGAAAAAAAAAAGAAAACCAAGAAACAGACTCTTAACTATAGAGAACACACTGATGGTCAACAGAGGGGAGGTGGGGGGGAGGGGTATGGGTTAAATAAGGGATGGGGATTAAAGAGTGCACTTATTGTGATGAGCACTGGGTGATGTATGGAATTGTTGAATCACTATGTTGTACACAAACTAATATTACACTGTATGTTAACTAACTGAAATTAAAATTAAAAAAAAAAAAGACTCAACATAGTCAAGATATCAGGTCTCTCTAAACTGATATGCAAGCCAAATCAAAACCCCAACTAGCTGGGGCACCTGGCTGACTCAGTCGGAAGAGCAAGTGACTCTTGATCTCGGGGTCATGTACTACAGCCCCATGTTGGATTACTTAATTAAATAAATAATTTTTAAAAAATCCCAACTAGCTGTTTTAGCAGCTGACAGGCTGATACTAACATGTATGTGGGAATATGAAAGCAATAATAGGGGCACCTGGGTGGCTCAGTTGGTTGAGTGTCCAACTTGATTTTGGCTCACATTGTGATCCCAGGGTCGTGGGATCAAGCCCCTCATCGGGCTTTGTGCTGACAGTTTGGAGCCTGCTAGGGTTTCTCTCTCTCTCCCTCTCTCTGCCCCTCCCCCATTCATGCACTCTTTCTCTCTCTCAAAACAAATAAACTTAAAAAAAAAAAAGAGCAATAATAGCACAACAATTCCGAAAAGGAATAAAATTGGACATCTTCTTACTCCAAGATTTTCTGTGAAAGGAACAAATGTAATGGATGGTGTGGTATTTGCATAGAGATAGGAAGGTGGAAAAAAGAAACAATAGAGATGCTAGAGGTAAACATGTATGATTGGTTGACTTTTAACAAAGTGACAAAAAGGAGGAAATTGAGGAAAAGATAATAGCTTCAACAAATGTTGCTGGAACAACCAGATAAATTTTTGGAAAAAAAAAAAAAAAACCTAGACCTTTACCTCACATCATACACAATAATTCACATGAAGTGGATCTAAGACCTAATAGCAAAAGTCAAAAACATAAGGCATCTAAAAGAAAATATTTTTGGGAATGCAAGCTGGTGCAGCCACTGTGGAAAACGGTATGGAGGTTCCTCAAAAAACTAAAAATAGAACTACCTTACGACCCAGCAATTGCACTACTAGGCATTTATCCACAGGATACAGATGTGCTGTTTCGAAGGGACACGTGCACCCCAATGTTTATAGCAGCACTATCAACAATAGCCAAAGTATGGAAAGAGCCCAAA